AAACGGTGTCTGTATTGCAACAGCAAGACACATTTTTATCTTATTTGTATTACAGCAGCAAGAAGGCCGGAGCCAAGGGCAAAGTTGGAGGACGCTGGAAATAAAGATCTGGAAGGTCCCTGCAGGAAGATTCATCAATGGTGGCATGGCCAAACATCACTGGCTCATCTTCCCTATTTAGCTACCAATTCCTCTCTCTCGCCTGAACAAAACCATAGTTGCAACATCAGCCTGGATTGCCTACTGCTTATTTTTAGGGTGCCCACATCTTTCAGAACCTCAGCTCTGAATGACGATGAGTCCCTGCTGATACCTGTTGTCCCACATGTATCTTTTCCTAATTCCAGCCCTACACTGCCACACAGATTGCAGTGTATGAATCTTTTGGTTTTGTAAATAAAGCGTAGTCAATAATATACTTCAGACCTGCAACTCCTGTCTAGCCATTCATTTTTTTCCATTATAATGATTCATTTACCAAACCCTGGAATTTATTGGCCTTGTCAATAAAACCTGGCAAAGGACCACTGAAGTAAATAAATGTATGCTAGTTTACATCCACCAATGACTGTAAGCTATTTATGTATAACTGAAATGCTAATGCTATGCATGCTTATTCAAAAGTAAACCCCATTGGCCTATGTGATTAGGAAGAACTCATAAGATTGCACTCACAAAGCCAAAACAGCCCAATTGAAAAATCAAGGTAATAAGGGTGGTGGTTGTGGTGTAATCATACATATATCCCAACTAAAACATTTCTTTCTTTTTTCTTCCTTCGAGTTAGATGGTTTTTGTTTTGTTTTGTTTGGACTCCTGGTGACTGCCTGGACTAGTCCCTGCAGTTTTCTTGGCAAGGTTTGACCACAAGTGGTTTGCCACTTCCTTCTTCACTGGGCTGAGAGTGAATGACTGGCCCAAAGTCAACAACTGATTATGTCCCTAAGGCGGGTCTAGAGCTCATAGTCTCTCTGGCTCTCAAAGCTTTCTAGTCTTTAATTATTTACTATGCATATATTGAAATCCTTATCGGTTTGGCCACCTCTAGAGGAAAGGGGAAAAACTGCTGCACACTGCAGTTTTTATTTATTATTATTTTTATTATTACTTTAATTTATATCCCGCCCTTCTCCCGAAGGACTCAGGGCGGCTTACAGGCAATAAAAACGGAACTATACAATAAATATCTAAAAACAATTAAAATATATATTAAATAAGCCTGTTATTTTTAGAAAAGTTATAAAATCCCTATTAAAATCCCTATACAATCCCCCCCCTAGGCCAATCCCGCTTGAT